TCTCCAATTTGCGTCTAATGAACCATATATTTTGTGTTTTTTTCTTTACAGTCTACAGTCCTCACTTCAATCATACGCCATAACAAAGAGAACCAGAGCTTTATTCAGCCTTTGCTTTGTAGCCCTACTAAGAAGATGAAAAAGAAGTTTCTGAAGAGATTTCATTGGGAAAAAAAACTTCAGCTCGCTAGGACTATTCTTAGTTATCCCACAGCTGTCATTTCATTTTTGACATTGACTTGTATGCAGAGATAGATGAATTCGTCCACTTTTTTGGTAAAATGGTAGGTTCCGGTGATGATTATTTCACTTTCATTTTGGTTGGTTAACCCTCTGACCAAAACTATGAGTTTTTCTTTAAATTAAACAGAAGGACAGCTAAAATATACTTATTAAGCGCACTCTCAATATGTATAATGTATGATACTGGATAGTACATCACCATGTTTTACTTTTCTTCTTAAATGACAGGCATAATATTTATATGTTTATTGTTCAATCATTTGGTGATATCAAATATGAGTAAGGTGGATCGATTATGACGGATTTAACAAATGTATGAACCCGATGGAGAAAAAAAAACTAGATACTCTAAGGGAAAATACAGGAAAAGTCCAAATAGAGGAAATTAAAAAAAATGAATGTTGGAAGCGTGATGAAGGATGCCCATAGACAGAATTGCCTGGTAGCTTAGAGAAACATAAAGGTGGTCCAAATGTGGAAGATTTATTTTCTGGCCTAATTCAAGAGTAGAGCCGTGGCGAAAGGAAATAGAATAAGCACCCTTATTGTCTACTTCAGAACCACCTGTTATATCTGAGCCTGCCTTTTATTGTGTGCGTTGTTAACAAATTTGGTACTATTTTGAACGTATTGCTGAGGGCACATAAATATTTTTGATAACAATATTCTCTTCATATTGTGGTTCATTTGTATAAATACTTTATCGTATTTGATGCTTTATTTCATACAGTAAACATTTATTTATTTAATGTTTAAAAGCATTTTAAAAAACATTTTTTAAATAAAAAAAAATTGATGAATGTAAAATAATTTGTTTATTACAGTTCATGCAATTAGAAACCAAGATCATTTCTTAATCCAGGTTATGTCAATCAGGTCATTACACCAACCTCATTACCAAATTTACTCCTTCATTGTCGAAGTTAGGTAAATTTTAAATTCATCCAAAAAGAGAAAAAAAATACACTTAAAATCGAAAAAATCCACTAGCATTTTACGTTGTACGCATCAAGGAACAAACTTTGTTTTGTGTTAGTCGTTCTGTACTCAAGCTCAAGCAATATTACTGGCACGTCTACTATAACTAAAATTTTTATTAAATTTTCAAAGTGTATTTCTTTGAAACAACTGTTTCAAAAATATTTATATATATTGTTGTCTCTATCCTATTGGGTCATTGGCAACGCCTTTTAATTATACTCTATTACAGAATTTTATAATTTTTAAAAATTTCAAGGTGTTTTCTGTTTTTTTCATTGTCCATGGAACATTGGAATCCAGATTGTCTTTAGGATCTGAGCCATACCCAATTTTATTTCTTATATTTTTAAACATTGGGTAGTCTTGGAATATGAGGCCTTGAAAAATCCTTGCGAAGGACTAAACTCACGAATTTGCATGGGTTGTTGAGATAAAGATTTTTTAATATATAGAGGTTTTTATGTAATGTTTCAAAGCATGTTTAAATGAATAATTAAAACATTAAATTTGTTTATCCTTACACATTTGTTGTTTGTATTTCTTTTCGCTGATGAGCTTCGATATCAAACCCGTTTACATTGAGGGATTGCTGAATTTCCAAAAATGGCTTTTTCCAGAGATTTTATTCTCATTCGAAAAATGTTTGACCTTGTATTTTTTAGCCAATGAAAATGGTGAGGAAGCGATACTGGCCTTACTTGACAGACTTTTTTTTAATTTGAAATAAGGGAGACACATTTTGTCTAAATAAAATAAGCGTTTCTAAAGATTATAAAAACACCGAAATAAATATAGATTTGTTACCATCAAACTGAAAAAAAAAATCTAAATTTTCCTAAAGTTTTATGAAAATGTTGGAATATTTTAGCGGAATTCGAAATCCTCTGAAACAGAGCAGAACGAAGAAATCAGCGATAGAACGATTTTTTTTTTAAATAACTTTAGTGGTCTTCAGAAATTAGTTATTTCATTTTTATATTCCCTTAAATAATTCCAAATATAAATTGATGAGTTTTCTACAACCATAACAATAATTAAATTATATAAATATGACAAATTATTTCTTCCGATGAATAGCATTCTCCTAAGACATCTATTTATTGCAATCCTTATCAAATTATTTTCTTACGTGTCAAATATAAATGAAATTTCAGGAAATAAGATTAGTGTTATATAAATATACTATATCGTTTAAAAAGCTTAAGATTTCAGACAAAATAATACTTAACACATACAATGTTAGATGGTGAAAAAGTAATGACTAAAAACTGTTAACGTTAATAATGTCTAATCTCATGTTACTGGATGTAAATTATATATTCTTCTAGAAAGTAAATAAAACTTCCATGAAAATTTATTGGAAACTTTTTAAATTTTTTATTTAGCATGACAAATAAATAACTAGGTATATATTTAGTGCACGAAATCGTCAACTTTATATCAATTTTCATTTAAATTATTATTTTTTAAGTTCATTAATTTATTTAAAATTATTACCACTAAAGGTACTATGAAAAAAGAAAGTTGTGGGTTGCACTGTACCCGATGACTTTCATTATTCATTTCGAAAACATATCCTGAATAAAAATATTCATCTTAACCCTCTAAAGATAAAACACAAAAATAAAGCTGAGAATGGAATGATAAGACGGCAGTACGTGGGAGTAGTCTATCGGAGCAGAGATAAGACAGGATGGAGGGGATATGGTGCCCTAGATATCCTCCTCCCCAATCCTCCCCACTCCCGAACAGCGGCAGGATAAAGGATATCTACTCTCCGGGCCAATTAGTTCTGTCGGTATCTCTTACTCTCCATCGTCTTTGTTCCCCGGGTCCCTCTTTTGTCGTTGGTCCTAACTAGGGAAAAGTAATTTCAGGACTCCTTGATGTCTTTAAGAATAATTTAGGATTCTCGTTTTGAGCTATAGAGCAAGTTTCAGAACTAAAAAAACAATAGCTTGAGCAATATTAATTTACTTATGTTTTAATATAAAAATAACGAAATAATCTAACTCCGTTAGTTGCTAGGATATTTACAAATGTTATAAAATATTTGTCTTTGATCAAAATAATTTAGTTTTTAAATAACACCATTATCGAAAGAATTCCGAAATGGGAATGCACTACTACCAGGATGCTGCATGTTTCCTACTTTATTTAAAATATAAATCCATGAATACCTAAAATTTATTATTAAATTTTATTATTATTTATTACTTATTGGATTTCCTACAGAAATGTCTGAATAAAAAATACTCAGAGAACCAACATGCTATCAAAAAGAATTTGGTCGTTTACTGTGGACTCCAGCCTATGATTGTGCAGTTGATGAATAGAGGTATAATAAATACATGTCGTAAAAAACAGTGAATGATACGTTTCTAGATCAAAATATATCAGATGTATATGATATAACCAGTTTTAGTTTACCCCCCCCCCCAAAAAAAAAAAAAACGAAAAGACTTGGCTGCCAACTGAGTTCCTAATTTCAATTGATTCATAACTTATCGTTTGTAATTTTTCATTATCGCAGAGAACATCATGATACCAATTTAATACTTAGATATCTTCCCCCCGAGGCACACTTTTCGAAACAATATTTCAGTTTGCATATCTGCCAACTTTTTTTACTCTGACTATATTATATTTTTATTCCTTATTATTAATAATGATAACATTTAGTTATTTTGCTTTTGTTTATTTCATTTTTTTTTTTTTTTTTTGTTTGTACATATTGTGTGAATACGATCTTACCTCCTTATGACGAATGCCCAAGTTACAAAATGTTATATTATTCAATAGATAAATAAAAATAAAATAAAATATTTAATAATGGCTGTTTCGATTGAAAACACAGCCCTAATAAAGATGGCTTTTATTATTCTGATTAATCTAACAATCTTTATTATGTATTTATTTATGTTATTTAAATTTATTTTATTTTATTTTAAATCATATAATTTGTTCAGTACAAAAATTGGGATTGACACTCAATATATGTATAATAATTTAATTCTTCATATTATTTTATGTCTGATTATTATATTCTCTTCTTTCATTTGTTCCATAACTTAATTTTTAAATTTTGTTCTGAAAAAATAATAATAATAATTACTTTCATTTCATGGAAGCCCTAATTATATATGAACTATCTGATCCCTGTGAAAACTCCGCACAAACCTAATATTTGTATTTGATTTTAATACATTAAGGCCTCACCACAACTTACATTCAATAATGTTTAATACTCAACGGTTTAATACATATATTTAGTAAGTTACCCGTTTATAAATATGATTTACACTCTGCCATGGTTCAACCATTGCCCTTCCTTAAACTTATAATTTAAATATTAGCTTTTTCCTTCATGGGATTATCATTAATTTACAAAAGCTTCTAAACATTGCTTTGAACATCTGATGACGGCAAGAGACAAAAGGCTCAGATTCTCAGGAAGTAATAGTTAGTCCAATCAGGATGTATATTACTTTATCAAAAAAAAAAAATGAAAAGTTTATTTTCAAAATGATAAACTTCAATAGTAAAGTCCTAAAAGTAAAAGCTAATGTAAATAAAGGACATTGACAAACATTCCACAAAGTGTTAAATGAAAGACACGTTTATATAAATAAAAATTTTAATTAATTTAAAAGAATAAATATAATGCTTCATTAAAATAAAAAAATAAATTAAACTTTTGAAAGACTTAGTTGAACAAGGACAACACAAGGTTCGAGACACAAAGTACCGCTGGAATATCCTTCAACCTCTTCTACATTGATCCACAGCTCCTCCTTGTCCTCCACTTCCGGAAGCCACAGTCTTCCTCAAGTGGATGTCCTTGGCGACCTCTCCCATCCCCCTCCCAACCATTTTCACGATGACCCTCCCAGCTTCACTTCCTTATACTGTGCCCAGTTCCGGAAAAGATCCGATTAGTAATGCTCTGTATAAGACCTTTTGTTGTCCACTTTCATTTTATTTTTTTAGACACACCGAATTTCAGTGTTCTCCGCTAAAACGATAAAGGGGCCGGTGGAAGTATTCTATTTGAAATGTTTAGGAACAGGATTGCAAAGGAAAATTGATCTAAAACGGTCCTCTTATTGCTCGTATTTTTAGTCCTAGACCGAAAAACTATTTCATTAAGATATACAAGTAATAAAAGTTTATACAACAGCTAGGGGTGGAAAAAAAAAGGCCCCATATCAATATTGTTATCGATATTAATATCTGCATATAACTGTCGATACAATCAAAATATAGATGGTGCGCTGCAGCGCAAGCGCAAATGGCATGAAATGTTAAAATGAATAAATAAACATTGATATTACTGAAATCAACAATGCTTTAAAATTTTGAAATTATTTAATATCAAGAATTTAAAAATGCTGAAAACCGTTATTCAATTTAAATTTCCATAAAATAACATTTATAAGACGGCACCGGGGTGGGAAGGGAACCTGAGATGGGGTTTCAATATCCGCTGACTGGGCTTTGAAGGAGAAGAAGTCCTGAAGTGAAAATTGCCATTATTTTTCACTCGGAGTTGTTGATGGCCTCAACGTGAGCTGGTTCCTTTAGCACCTGGGCCCGAGGGTTGTTCTTGAAGGTACTCTTTCATCCCGATGAACACATAGCCCAGGAAGTTTGTTCGCTGGCGGTAGGTGGAGTTGAAAATAAAAAGCAATGTCCATCAGTCGAGTAATCTAATTTTCAAACGAAATAATTTGCAGAGATACTACATTTGGATCTATACAAATATACGAGGTGATCAATTTTAGATTATCAACTTCAATTTTTTAAGGGAAACTTCATTAGGAGCTCTTTCCGTTTTTTTTTGTGAGTTGCGAATGCGACTGATCCTTCACGCTTTTATATGTAACTCTCATTCGGATAAAGTAGGCTCCAGTCGACTAATTGAAGTGTTTTTTCATTTTGATTAAAATATCTCAGAAAATAAAATTCGGAACTGCATAATGTAATCGAGGGAAATTTCAGCATCTTATTCTCTTTGTAATGAGCTATTATGCAAAATTGTATCTTGATGTAGAGCTGTGGGAGAGGCAAAAATGGAAAAAGGTAGTGTCGAAAACCAAATGATAACGAGTTCTGTTGAACTTATGGATTAAAATATTTCAAATACTAAAATTCGAACCTACATAGTGTAAGGGAAATTTTCAGTGAGGGAATTTTTGAAGTTATGATGAGTGAGAGAGTCGGAAAGGGAAAAAGACAGCACCACAAAGCCAAAAATAATGATTGTTTTGAACGTTTCATACTATTAATCCGCCTTGCTCACCACACTTCTATAGTGTGGTTATAAGCACACACCATGTTTATTTATTTTTTTTTAATCATTGAAGTTCGACTATTTGGCAGTTTCTTCACTTATCATTTATGATTATCATGTTTTATATTCAAATATCTGTATATTTCAATAAATAAATACAATTAAAACAAAATGTTACACATTTAATATTTATTTATATTTTGTAATTTGTCCTATATAATATTCTCTTTATTTTCATTACTTCCCTAAAATTTTAACTATTTCTATCTATTTTAATGGAAATTTTATATTTATAGCAGTCTGCAAAGAGTTTTCTAGATTGGTTGACGTTTGTAGCTAATGTTCCGTTCTGGTGGACCGTATCGTGTGTTATAAATAGCGTTGCCCAAATGCGAGACCGAGACGAGTCTTGAACTTGCAAACTCAGTCTTGGTCTTGCGCAAGATTCTCACAACAGTCTTACAGTTACTTATTAGCTTATTACTATAGAGTTATTACTGTAATTTTTTAGATAGAAGAGACCTAACTTACCCTGAATGAAAAATTAGAGGAGTTAAATGCAAAAGTATATTGGTTATAAAAATTATTAACATATAGTGACTAAGATTATAAAGTATTAGTAACTATTTTGCCTTAATTTTTATTATAAAAATCGATTTTTTTTACCATTCCTGGCCTTGGTCTTGCAACACTTAGGTGTCCTTGGTCTTGGCAAGACCAAGACCTATTTTGAGCAACACTAGTTATAAATATTCTTCAATTAATGGTCTCTTTGATGCAAAAAAAAAAAATTCAAAACAGACTCACAGTTTATGAAAGTATTACGTTCGATCGAACAAACTCTTACCTATTATGTTTATACATAACTTTATATTATTACAAAAAGGAAAATTCGATACAAATATACTGAATCTGTAGATCATTGAGAAGAAAAATTATCGATTAAGACTTGCCTAGTTTTTAATGCCAACCATGAAATGTCTACCTCTTCTGAAAAATAAAATTAAAATGCGAGATCTAAATGAGGTTCATATTTTTCATAGCTTAGAATTATGGTTGATAAGACTACTTCACAATTTAAACAGTTTTATTAGCTCTTTTATCGTTATATGGACCTAGCGCGCAATAAAAGAGCACTTAATAAATTATGATTATTATAAACTGTTACGATAAATTAGATTCAGTGAATCTCCAATAGTATACTGTAGATAGAATCATATTTGTTAATTTTCATACCTAATAAGTTTCACTATTCAGTGTAATGAGTTTTACGAATATTATTTTGTAATAGCCATAAAAGGCTTATATAACGATGCCAAAGCATTTGTTAAAACCGGAGCCTCCATTAGCAATAGCTTCCTCATAACGAAAGGATTAAAACAAGGATGTTTAATGCTGTCTCCGCTTCTCATAAACATTTATGTAGAAAATACTATAACAAAATGGAAGACAAAATGTTGAGGTATGGATGTAAAGACTGGAAATAATTGCCTACTCCATCTTCAGTTTGCAGACGACCAGATGCTCATCCCTTCAGAAGCCGAAGACGTGGCTTATATAATGAGAAAAATTCTCCATGAATTCTCAAACTGGAGGATGTAATTTAGCAAAGAAAAAAATTGTATATTTGGCCTTCAATAGCCAAGACGAAGATGTACTATTGCATAATTGCATGTTAGAACCTGATGCTCTATTTAAGTATCTAGCAAGATGAGTGAAAACAGTAGGAACATCAGACATTGGAAAGAGCTTAAGCACCGCTAAATAATTATCTGAACCTTAAATTTGGTACTGATGAGTAAAGCAGTCTTCTTAAAAGCAAAAACAAAAATTGAATACTTAATAGTTGACAGTTGTATTATTAAGGAAGATGGTCCGGGGTGACGGTTATAAATAGACTAAATAGTGGCAAAACTATTTTATTAAAAGCCAACATTTCGACCCGACTTTGCAGGTCTTCTTCAGGACTAGAGAACGGACAAGATACAAAAAGATATAGAGAATTGTGGAAGTTACATAATATTTAGACAAAAAATTATAAACAATGTGAATAAACTTATTAAAATTATAAACAGTAAGTCATTAAAATATAAACAGAATAAGCTGAGTAACAAGATCCTAAACTGAAGTAAATAGATGGTAACAATTGTCGTAGTATAATATATAATGTAATATATGCAATTCTTGCAATCTACAAGAGACATTAGAAGAAAAGTAAAAAGGATATAATATGAAATAATGGACATAAAGGAATGTGGAGAAAGAAAAGAAAAATAATTTCCAGGTTTTGTCTTACTTTTACTAATCACTCCCTCACCATTACACCACCAGGTCAGCAAATTTCCCCAATACTTACTCTGGTTTTCCCGTACTAAGAGAAACTCCTTGCTGAACATACCTGTAAGTCTGTTTTATTTTTTTTTTATATTTCTAATTTTATTTACTTATTTTTTGTGTTTCTTCTTTTTTTTGCTTTTCTTTGTCCACGGCCCTTTATGTCCATTATTTCATATTATATCCTTTTTCTTTTTCTTTCAATTTCTCCTGTAGATATGTAGCAGTATATTCACAATTTCATATATTATATTTTATATTATACTACAACAATTGTTACCATGTATTTACTTCAGTTTAGGATCTTGTCATTTAGCTTACTCTGTTTATATTTTAGAATACTTACTGTTTATGATTTTAATAAGTTTTTTCGCATTGTTTATAATTTTTTGTCTAAATATTATGTAATTTCAACAATTCTCTATACATTTTTGTATTTTGTCAGTTCAAGCCCTGAAGAAGACCTGCAAAGTCGGGTCGAAACGTTGGCTTTTAATAAAATGGTTTTGTCACTGTTTAGTCTATTTATGACCGCCACCCCGGACCACCTCCTTCCTTAAAAAAAAATATAAATCGTTCATGGAATTCGTTACTCTCTATTCAGGAGATTCATGAACAATGAAAGAAAATCAATCAAAAAGATTGCTAGCCCTAGAAATGGACTATTGCAGGCGATCATGTGGCGTCTCTCCTCTTCAAAAAGTTCCGAATAGATCGATTAAGAAACAAGAGGTCAAACGAAGAACATCCTCCACACCATCGAAACCACGAGGCTGAAGTGGTATGGCCATGCGATGAGGATGGAAGAAGGACGATAGCCTAAACTTGAAAGAAGAAGGAAGAAAGGTCGCTCAGGAGAAACTGTATGAGGGCGTTAAGGGAGGAATGATGAACATGGGTATCCGTGAAGAAGACTGGCAAGAAAGAAGAATATGAAAAAACTTTTATTTGGTGATAATATATGACTAATGTTGTAAAATACGTTAAATAAATAAATAAATAATGAATATTATTTATTTTTATGTTAATTTATTTTACCTTCATCTTTCAGAAATACCAAAGCTCTTGAATATAAACGACGAGATCGATATTTTATTTTGAGCGCTTACGGATGTTATCGGACAAGTTCGTTGTGATCATGCCTCGAATTAATGTATTCATGCAAGTTATCTTAAAATCTTTTGTAGCGTGTTCTTATATAATTGTGAACTCATACGTAGCGTGTTATAATCGATTATTGTTGGCA